TTTCCTAAACAGGATCTTAACGAACTTAAATCAAAGAATCGAGCATGTACCTTTTAAAAAAGGAATTTAAATTTTTTATGTATTAGAATTCATTAATCTTATTGTTAAAAAAAATTTAAATTAGAACCATCGATTATGCGTACATTTGAGTTGTGACGAATCCAGTTGATTTTAAAAACCTTACTGTAAAAAAAATTTCATCTCTTGACAGCTTTGTTCGACTTTTGCGTCATTATCGATCTTATTTTGGTACTATACTATATACTTGTATTTGATAAACAAAAACACAAAAAAATTAATTATGTTTGATTTAATGATCAAAATTGTTTGTTGGAAAATCAAATAAGTAATATGGAGTAAGATATTATAATATGAGGGGACGAGTATAAATATACGAGATTAGATACTACCTCCCTTTTTTTTTTTTTTTGAGTTGACACGTTTTTTACTGTATTATGTGATTTATACGTAATGAAAAATATAGTCATGTGGGGTCGGTCTTGTTAGATTTGTCACGGTATATATGTTCAAATTATCAACTTTGTATAACTTTTGCTTATTGGTAATTAAAGATATTAACGGTTGAATTTGTGCATTGACAAACGTGACTAAAAAAACGTGTCAACTAAAAAGAAACGAAGGATATGGAAGTAGTATTTAATTATGACGGTATTAGATAGTGTTTAGCCCTGCCCTTAGCTTGGATATGCTAGCTATTTTTTCTTATTTTAAGTCAAATATCATTTATTGCTATTGGTATATACTTGGGATGATTTACAAAAATATATCTTTTAAAAAACTTATTACGATTTTGCGTTGGAATGAAACTTATTTACGAAAATACAGTCCACGTAGGCTCGGTAATACATTTGGGGTAATATTTTCTTTAGAGACAAACCGCTACCTTAGGTAGCGGTTATAATCTAAAACCGCTACTTAAGGTAGCAGTTTGTCTTTAGTACTCCAAGTAAAGATACGGAGTAGCAATTTATAAAGGGTAAAATTACTCTGGAAAAAAAAAAAAAAAAACCTTATCTGAGCCTACGTGAATAATAGTTCCGTAATTAAATTTCATTCCGACGTAAAAATATAAATAAGTTCTAAAATAACTATACTTTTATAAATCATACTTGTACTATATACTCGGGTACTCAATTATCATTTATCAACTTTTCACCTTACTCCATTACTTTTTTACAAAATACATGGAAAAACCTAAACTTGCTAAAATTATTTAAAGGTTACCACAAAATAACAAAAATAAAAATATATATATATAACTTACTGATGATAATTTCTAACAATACATAAATTAATTTGGATAATATAACTTCAACTTATACGTAAGTATTAAGGAATAGAGTTGGTAGAAACTGTTATGGCATATTTTGCTTAAAAATATAAGACACTTCAGGTGATTAATAAACAGAATGCCTTCTTAGCTCAGTGGTAGAGCGCGTGGCTTTTAACCACGTGGTCGTGGGTTCGATCCCCACAGACGGCGATTTATACTAATTTTTTGACAAATTCTAAATTATAAATTAATTGACGCGAAGCAATTGTCCAAATATAATATGAATGAATAAATGAAACACTTAACAAAAAGTTATAAAACAAACCAATGAATGATTTTTATTCAGAATTGATACCAAACGAATAACAAATGTGGTACAAATAAAATAATCGTACCAATCAAAATTAAATACTAAGTATAAATATACACTCCAAAAAAAAAAAAAAAAACTAAATTGCATCTCTTAATGCTTGAAGATCAAAGAGACAACTGAGAAGAGTAGAGACAATCCAACGACGGCAGTAGAAGTAGAAAGAGAGAATCCTGCTCCGGTAGCGGCATCGGGGGCCGGTGCTGGTGCCATCTCTTGAGCATTAATCGACGCAACGATGGCGAAGATGATGGCAACAAAGAAGGTAAATGAGTTCATTGCCTGCGTAAAAGTGTATGCAAGAAAATACTCTTTTACTTGTGTTTAGAGTTTGAGAGAATTGATACTTGAAAAGATGAAGAAATAATGAGAACGTTAAAGAGTATTTATAGGGAAAATAGGAGTGTGTGGGTCCTTTATTAATAGACTCACAAGCCAGTGAGATAGTGACACGTAGTGGAAAAGGAAAGGAAGATTTAGAGAATCAGGAAATAATTGGTTAGCTTATGATTTAGTCTGTTGTGAAATAACATGGGGTGTGACAGTCAATAATGTTCTGGAAAAACGTCATCAAAAATAAAAAATAAAGATAGAAATGTACTGGAAAAATATCATGAAATTATAAAAATAATACTGGAAATGTTCTGGAAGAAATTAAAAAATTTAGGATTAAAGCTCAGGCAAAATTGGGCGGCGTGTATTAGACTATTAGTAATGATGGTATAGCACGTTGTAAAATGGCCCACGTGTAAGATGTAATGACAAAAGCGTTACTCAAACGGCTATGAATATGAAGAAACGGTCGGTCGTTAAAGGTTAAAACCGCGTAAGACCAGCTGCGGAGATTGTGTTTTGGTTAGGTTTGTATGTGTAATGGCTTAGGTGGGCTAATTCATGAAACGCGGATCCATTTGGCGTTTTCCATTTTTATCGTGTTTACATGTTCTCATAATTGTGTTCACATCTTAGCCGAAATCTTGTAAATTGTAATTGTAATCTTCCGACAAAAGTATCCATTATGCATGTTACCACCATTGAAGTTTATATTTGTAATTTACAACCAAAAAATCACTAATCATTTTAAATTACAACCAAAAATCGATTTTTAGTCACTTTTACCAAAGTATAAGGTTATTATATTAATAAATGATTCCAAGCTAGTATTGGTTGGGGAGTTATTTTTTATATCAATAAATGATTAATGACGTCATATTCCGATAATAGTGGTCCAATATCGGATTTTGGTTGAAGCTTAAAATGTTTGGTGACTTTTTTGTTGTAATTTGCAAACAAGAAAAACTTTGATGATTGTAACCCTTAAACTGGGTATTTTTACTAGTTGTAATTGACAATTTTTTTTAAAATTCTAACATGGTAAAAGAGGTGAGAGATATAGGAATTAAAAAAACGAATGTCACGATGAAATAGATTGATTGGCCAAACATATTAGTGTTGGACTTTCGTCTCCATAAAAGTCTTGTTTCATCTTTTAACATAAAGATGTAGCTCTTTTGCATAAGAATAATTTTCAAATCAAACTAGTTTGTGTGGAACACGTGAATCTGTATGTCTAAGAAGTTATCAATACAACTTTGGGTGTTGAAATGTACTTCCAATGTTTTATTAACGACATTTTAGCTTTTACATTATTCACACGTTTTAATATTGATTATTTTTAATGTTTATACTTAAGTACAAATATAATCTTGTGAAACCTTATTGTGTTTCACGGGATCTATACTTTCAAAATATTAATTTTTTATATTTTTTTACTAATATAAAATTATACTTGTTGGAAGAAAAAAAAAATAAAAAAAAAAAAGGGAACGTTGCAAGTCTTGTAACCTGAAACGTGGAAAAGGAAAGATGATTAAGTATACGAAGTATTTGAGAATTGTGAATTTGTGATATGTAAGTATTGGGCTTAGGGAGTAACATGACTAATTGGGTTCTAAGGAAAAATTCAAGAAAATGTGTGTTAAAACGTATTGGGTTAGGCCCATTTTCATAACCATATGGAACGTATTACAGTAATTCTTATTTTGGCCCAAAGATAAAGTCCCGCTTCAATTTTCCATATTACGTTAAGAATCTACAAATTTTGTGCGTATCAGCCCTCGGGTGTACGACAATTTTTTGTATAATGTGCCCATACTTAGACCACTTTAGAGGTGTTAATTCAAAGAAGAAGAAGAGAGGTGTTAAATCGGATATTCAGATTAGGCTTTGAAGTTAAATCGGATCTAATATTAAACTTGAGCATGTTAAATTATAAAGTCCATTTGAGTTAAAATCTAATCAGATTTTTTTCAAGTTGGTCGGGTGAAGTTTTTTAACCTCTACTCTATAGTAGGACAACTGTTAACAAAATTTAAGGTGACTTTTAAGTTCTAACATATCTCAATTATTTTAATACTTTGTATTATTCTTATGGGATTTTTCAAAGGTAATTTTTTTAAGGGTCATATGGTTACCTTTATACTTTATGTCCTTTTACATTATGGATCTCCTACATCTTTAGTCTAGGAACTACACCTTTAGTCTGGAATCGTGTTCAACCAGATTTTCAGTATAACCTAAAGAGTTTCCAATGGTATTACTTTTTTATTACCTTGCAACACTTCTTATTTTACATTTGTTAATACTCCGTAAGTTATTTTAAGCACTAAGCTAATATCTTTAATTATCAGTAGATAAAAATTATATTAAAAAAATCGATATTATTAAATATAAATTAAAGTGTGGTGTTAAAAAAATAAATTAAAGTGAATTTAATAAGATCTCAAATGACTATATATTTCTTTTACTATGGTCAGAGTAGAGTAAGCAAAAAGAACATAAAAGTGTTGCAAGTAAAATAAATCGGATGGAGGATATTCGTTGATAGATTATAGGTTAATATTATCTTGTTAATATTCTGTAAAGATATATCTTGTGTAATTAGAGTTCTCATAATTAGGTTTATAAATACTTATATATATTGATTAATGAGAATGCTCCAACTAAGGAGAATTACACTATTCTACATGGTATCAGATTCAGCTTAGGGTTTTTCTCTCTTTTCTCTCTTTCAAACCCTAAAACCGATCCTAGGCCTTCCTCTAGTTGTCCACCTTCACTCTTGGCCAACCTCATTCAACCTCCACCATGGTCGGTGATGATACTCCCCCTCCTTCACCTCCCTCAGCTCAAACAATACCTTCCATCCGACTTTTGCCGTATCAAACATCAAAAACCTCATGAGTGTTACTCTTGATCATGAGGATGCTCAATATGCTACTTGGATTGAACTTTTTCAAATCCAAGCTTGTGCGTTTAACGTTCTCGACCACATCAATGCTATTGTTTCAAGGCCGACAGAGATTGATGATGCTACATACATGGAAGAGATTGGATGCTATTGTGAAACAATGGATCTATGGAACCATTTCAAGAGACCTTGCTCATACAATCATGAAACCGGGTGCCTCGGCTTTAGAGTTATGGACCTGGCTTGAGGAGATTTTTCATGATAATAAGCATACTAGGGCAGTTTATTTAGAGGAACAGTTTGCAAATACAAAACTTGAACACTATGCTAATATGTCAGATTATTGTAAGCAAATCAAGTTCCTTGTGGATCAACTTGCTAACGTTGATTGTCCGGTCTCCGATTGTAAGATGGTTATGCAACTCATTGCAGGTTTCACCAAGGGTGAATATGACACCGTGGCGGCTATCGTCTCCCAAACCGAACCTACTCCAAGCTTCAACAAGGCACGCTCCATGTTTCTCCTAGAAGAAACACGGCAAAAGAAGCAAGAGGAATCGGGCCAACAAGCCCTAGTGGCCCAATCCTTTGAAGCCCAATCCGCGTCAGCACCATCACAGAACAACCAGCAATTTGCGGCTGATCAGCGTGGTGGTGGTGGCGGCGGCTGAGGTTGAGGACGAGGTCGTGGGAACACCAGTAAGCCTAAAGGTCGTGGAAAAGGTCGTGGTAACAACAACAATAACCAACAGCAGCAACAAAATTCGTCTGGACCACAACAGTGGCAGGCCCAGCAACAGGCCCCTCAGTAGGGAGCCCAAGCACACTAGCAGTAGCAGACCGGGCAGTGGGCTTCACCACCCTGCCTATTTCCCATTGCCCAAATCAAGGTCTGCTCCTTTGGTTTTTGTAATACCCTGGAAATTTCTTTCTTTTAAAAATACTCATTTTCTTTAAATAAAACCGTTTTTAGGAAATAACCAAAATATTACCACCACCGTGATAACGACTAAGGCTAATTTTCAAAGTCACACAGCGAAAGTCTAAAAATAAAAACCAACTTTCAAAGTAAAACTTAAGTTTACAACTTCAAAACAAAAGTGGAATAAAACATTCATAAGTTGGAACCAATTCAAACATGGCCCTTTTTTAAAAAACCAATTAAAATAAACATAATATTGCTAGTCCATAAACAATAACCAATAATTCAAAATATCAAAACTAAGAAACATAACAAGTAACTTTCTGCACTCTTTCCCATCATGCTTTTCATGCTTCAAGTACTTGTTACTTCCTCTTTATTTCAACTCTCTACTCACCATATAAATGGGTTATAGTAAGGCCAACCAAAGGAAAACCAAACACAAACACAAAAGTATGAATCAGTAAAAGGTGAGTACATATGTACCACACTAACATGAATATCCTAGCATCAAAATAAAATAATTTAAAATATGCTCGACATACAATCACAAGTCAACTTACCTTTGACTCATAACTAGCAATATTAATTATTAAATAATAATTTTGGATTACGCATCGAACGGGTTTCCTTCCCAGAAAAATATCCCATGAAACATGGAGCTTCCAATTAGGGAGCTACCCCAATTGACATCTACTATGTCACACTTGTGACGGAATTCCAGCATATTAATAATAAAAGAAAGTGCAACGCCTTGTACCCCTGTAAAGGCTATGGTTAAATATAAAACCCCATAACTCCCCCCATATGTTCATACTTCAGGTATATATACGTTTCAAGAGTTTTGATGTGTATCCTCTTACACTTTACGTGATTTACCAATTTAACTTGTGATGACTCCAACCAATCAATCAAGAATAAACATGACAACAATCAACACATACTTCTAATTCATTCTTGAATTAATTAGTGAGCACATACTATTTATTTTAATTAAGGTTCCTTGCCTAGTTTTGTGCACAAAATTGCACGATTACTACCTTGGTGCATAAAATGCACTACTAAACTTCCTTGACTCGAACTCAACTTACACGAGCGAGTAAATAAATAAATTAACTTCTTGACTCAACACCAATAATAAATGGGTGAGAAATAAATTCATGAATCACACTCAATAATTCTAATTTTAGCTCCTTTAAACATACATAAGCCTTGCTTATTAAATTCATGCTTCCTTGATACTTGAAAATAAAACATACTTCCATGATTCATACATATTCAACTTGTATCATGCCTCAAATAACATATTCACATGCTTGCATAACAATTCGTGCTCATCCAACATCAATTCCAAGCATATAATCAACCAAACATACTACTAATTCATCACTTAAATCATACTTTACAATCCTAGCATGATACTACGCATACACAAATATTCTTGTGCACATACGTACCTTAATAATGCCTAAACTTGGCCACACTCGCTAAAATCACCTAGCTCGAACCTTTCTACAAATAAGAATACATAACTATAATTAATCCACTATTCTGCAAATTTTTCCAGCAACTATAATACACTTTAAACCTTACTAATTATCCCAATTTAATGACATAAAAGCCATAAAACATTTTCTTTAAGTGGGTACTTTAAATCCTTTCAAAAAGACTTAGTTTTTATGACTTAAATAAAATTCCAGCACACTTATTTACTAAAAAACATCACTAATAAACTAGGAAATAATATTTAAATCATTAAAACCTTTTCCCCTTTTATGGGTAATCAAACCCTAACACAATAATTAAAAAGTAGTGAGTATAATTAGATTCCAGCATTAATTTGAGGGCTTTAAACTTATTAAAAAAAACATGTTTAAACCATTAATTGAACAACAACAACCTAGGATCAAACCCTAACCATAAACAATAAATTCACAAATTCTAGGGTTTATAAAGTAGGGTTTTTTATTAAATAAAAATCTGAAAATTATAGGAATAATTTAACAACATCAAATATCCAAAATCAATACCAAAACATAATAAAAATCATACTTTAAATTAACAAAAACAACTAGAATTAAATTAGGAAGAGAAAAGAATTTTTTTTTAATAGCAATACCGAACCAAAATCAAAAAGGAGAGAGAAGGAGGGTGGCCGGCGGTGATTGCCGACTGCTGCTGGTGGTCACCGGTGGCTGGTGGTGGCGCTGGTGGCTGGTGGCTGTCGGCCGTGAGGGGAGGAGAAGAGGGAGAGAGAGGCGTGGGAAAAGAGAGAAAAAGAGAGGAAAAAGAAAGAGAAAAAGGAGAGAGAAAATAAAGAGAAAATTTTTGGGGTTTGAAGTATTTATACTCCCCTTCTAAAACAAAAACTCATAATTATAAGATTGTCATTACTAAATCCTACTCCCCCTTAACTTTTCCTTTGGGGCCAACTTGTTGGGCTCTTAAGTGTCCTCAATTTCCCAACAAGTTGATCCAACCATTTAAATAAGAATGACCCAATTCAAAACACTTTTATTGCCTCAATTAGTGACTCATATTATTTTATACACACTTACATAATATATAAATAATTAATTTCTTTTTAAATGAAATGAATTATTTGATTTATAAAAATAAATAAAGTAAATAATTTATATATATAAAAATATTATAAAAATATGGAGCATTACAGTTTTGGGCCGTCTATCCCAACAGGCCTACTATGCAAATCCGACCCAGCAGGGTTACGGTCCACTCATGTCACCTACGGATTTGGGAAAAGCATATAGTTCCATGAGTCTTCAACCGCCGGACAACGGATGGTACATGGACACAGGGGCCACTTCCCACACGACTCGTGCTTCGAGTAATATTTCTAAACTGTTTAATTTGAGCATTCCTAAATATATTGTTGTTGGTGATGGCAAACGTATTCCGATTTCGGGTTATGGCAATTCTACCACCCCCTCACCTAATCCACCCTTCCATCTCAAGAATGTCCTCTATGTTCCTAAAATAATTAAAAATTTAATTTCTATTAGAAAATTTGCTTGTGATAATTCTGTGTCTATTGAGTTTGACCCTCTTGATTTTTCTGTGAAGGACCTTCATTCGGGGACAACTCTAGCGAGGTGTAATAGTGTGGGGGACTTATATCCATTCTCAACATCTTCCGCTACGTATGGCAATAGTCATCTATCTCTAGTTGCAATTTCTCCTTCAACTTGGCATCATAGACTTGGACACCCCGACGATCCTGTTTTTGATTTTCTTAGGAAAAACAATTTAATTTGTTGTAATAAGAGAAATAGTACTCATTTTTGCTATTCTTGTCCATTAGGAAAACATGTACGACTTCCTTTTAAGCCCTCTACTTCTATCACTTTTTCACCGTTTGATATTGTTCATGCGGATCTATGAACATCTCCTATTTCTAGCAAATTGGGTCACAAATACTATCTAGTGTTGCTTGATGATTTCTCTCATTTTATTTGGGTGTTTCCTATTTTTCAAAATTTTCGAGCATATGTTAAAAAGGAGACATGGCCGCGAATTTGATATTTTTAGCAAATTGGGTCACAAATACAAGTCTATGATATTTTTCTAAATTTTCAAGCATATGTTAAAACTCAATTCGAAAGGGATATTAAAACCTTTCAAAGTGACAATGGCCGCGAATTTGATAATTCTCCATTTCACAAATTTTGTGCGACTAATGGCATGGTCTTTCGCTTTTCTTGCCCAAAGACTTCTTATGAAAACGGCAAAACCGAAAGAATTATTCGCACTATTACAATATGTCTCGTACTATACTCTTTCATGCCTCTCTTCCCCCTTCATTTTAGGTTTATTCAATAAATATTGTTGCTTACATTCTCAACATTCTACCTTCTACAACCATACAAAACAAGACTCCAACCAAAGTTTTGTATCGTAGAGCATCCACATATGATCATCTTCGTATCTTTGGTTGTCTTTGCTACCCAAACATGAGTGTTATTGCACCACATAAACTTGCTCCAAGGTCTAAACCTTGGGTCTTTTTGGGGTTTCCATCTAATCATCGGGGTTATTTGTGTTTCGTTTTGTCTTCCAACAAAACAAATATCTCTAGAAATGTGACTTTCGTTGAGGACATATTCCCATTCTCAAATATACGAAAATTTAGAGAAATTGATTATGATTTCTTAGATCATAACACTCCTGCCATTAACCCCATGTTGATGCAACCCAACGGCATTGCTGGCCCAACTCCCATCATTGCCCCACTAAACACACAGGCCCCACAATCTCCAACTCCCCTTTCTCCCACTCAACACACACCCAACCAGAAGACTCCGCAGGTGGGCTGCGGTACTTCAAGCCCATCCGCAACCCCCTTGCGGACTCCACTGACCAGCCCACCTCTTTCACCAATTACTCACGCCACTCCCTCCAATTCATCCCCATTGATCCAATTTGGATCATTGCCATCGAAGCCCAGTCCATCCCACTCATTCAAGGCAAACACTCCAATCCACTCACTCGATGGCCACACGTGCCAAGAGTGGCATTTTCAAGCCAAACCTGAAATATCAAGCATATATTACAGTTCAAGCTATTTCTCCTTTACCCAAAAATATGGAATTAGTCATGCTTGACCATAATTGGAATATTGCCATGAATGAGGAATTTAATGCTCTTACTAAACAACAAACTTGAGATCTTATTCCAAGGCCGAAAGGGGTGAACATTATTCGTTGTATGTGGTTATTTAAACATAAGTACAGGAAAAATGGTGATTTGAAGAGACATAAGGTGAGACTTGTTGTCAATGGCAAGTCTCAACAGGTTGTTGTTGATTGTGATGAGACTTTTAGTCCCGTGGTGAAGCCGGCTACTATTTGGACTGTGTTGAGTATTGTTGTGGGTAGAGATTGGCCTATTCATCAGTTAGATGTCAAAAATGCCTTTTTTCATGGTGACCTCAAGGAAACAGTATTTATGCATCAACCCCCAGGATTTGTAAATCTTGATGCCCCTGCTCATGTTTGTCGGCTCCGCAAATCTCTTTATGGTCTTAAACAAGCCCCCCCAGGCTTGGTATCAACGATTTGCTAATTATCTCTTGAAGATTGGTTTTGTATGCTGAAAAAGTGATAATTCCCTCTTTATTTTGCGACATGGTGCTAATGTTGCATATCTCTTGCTTTATGTCGATGACATTATTCTTACAGCTTCCTTAGAAAAACTCAAGTGTGATATTATTGGTCTTCTTAAGTCCGAATTCTCCATGTCTGACTTGGGGAAGCTGAGTTATTTTTTGGGAATTTCTGTACAGGCAGCGGGATTCGATCCCTGCCCGTCAAAGATCTTTATACCAACTATGCCAGGTTCAACATCATATTTTTATTGGCGTTGATTTATAATTATAGCGATCTACTTTGTCAGACTTCTGGAGCCACAAAAATTGTGAGGCCCTGTGCTATTGGGTTGTTTGCAAAGCCTAATAGTCGGCCCTGCTAAGGAGAATTACACTATTCTACATTTTTATGTGTAAATATTTAGGCTATGTTTTTCTTAGCTAGTCTTTATCGAATGCACTCCTCATTTTCAATACTCCTTTCGTCCCCAAATGTTTGTCTCATTTGACATTTTTTATAACCCTATATGTTCTACCAATTTCACATTTGTACTAATTTTGGGACCCTAAAATGACTGCTTTATCCTCATTTTTTGTCCTTATTATATGCTATTCCTATTATACCCTCACATTTGCAATAAAAGTTGTGCCCACTTTTGACTAAATTAATATTTTACCCATAAAGTGACTTTCTCTCTCTCCCTCTCATTTTTTTTTAAATAATTAAGAATTTCTCTTTCCCATTTTATTACTCCATCTTCTTCACCTTAATTCCCGTGATTTTTCACCAAATAAGACAATCATTCGAGGACGGAAAGAGTAGAATAAAGGATATTTGCTAAACTTAGTAGTTCATGTTTGCTCAGTAGTCAGTATTTTCACTCATTTTAGTAAAAGTTCATGCCATATTAGTTCAAATAAGTTAATTAAGTTTAGGGAAAGTTGAGATGCTCAAGTTCAATTTTTGTTTAACAATAATTTTATTTTATTTAATTTTCTAAATAATAGTTATCTCTTCAGAAATATGGATCGAAGGCCCAATTTTGTAATTACATTTCGCCCGATTATCTTTGGGCCGGGCCAAACTCCATGAATTATTTCTCTGCCTACATGTTATATCGAAGGTGATATTAAATAATACTAGTTTGTTATAACAAGTGGGGGAGAACACGAGAGAAAGAAGTCCACTAATTAGAGCTCATCCTAAAATCAATTGATAATAAGAGAAGTAGCTCATTTGGGCTATACACTTGTAGTCTTGTAGACGTTGTAGTACATTGCTTTTATATGAAGCAAACAAAAAAGTCCAAGGACTACATTGAACACCAAAATTCATTCCCAATCAACTACAAGGCAGCCTTATTATTCATGTAAACCAACAATTAATATACAAAACATTAAATGTCAATATAATTCCCACAAATTATCAGTAGAATACATAGTAAACTAATAAAATACAATAAAAAAAAAAACCAAGAATAATGTATGTATATTGGACTAAAGTGACCATTATAGAAACATATAGGAAAATCACGTAAAGAAATACACAAAGCCATAATCCAGTGACAAAAATACATTCAGTTTAACAAAAATGCAATCATAGAGATCAACACAGATGAGACCATCAATGTTCCAGAAACCGGCAATGTAACACCATCTCCAGCAACCGCGGCAGGCAGTGGGGAAAGCCCGGTTTCTTGACCTGTAACGGTAACAAAGTATAAGGCCACCATTACTAGTGCTAACATCATTGATCGAACTGTAGCTAATTGGCATGCCATTTCTTAAATTTAGTGAATATTTTGTTGAAATTCCGAAAACTATAAGAAAAAACAATTGGAGATGGTAATGTAGTAGAGATGAAGAACCCAAATATATATAGTACTTAAAGGTTTGGTACGTAACATTTATAAAATGACATTATAACATGTTAATTGAAGTAATTATTTACCTTAAAGTTTAAGGCTTGTGTTGTCACACACACCAAATAAAGTGAAGAAATCGACAGCAACATTTTATGTGGTGCACCAAACTTGAGAAGCTACTACATAGTTGGTGTTTCTTTTTTATATGGTTTGCATTTCTTCTAAGCCAAGGAAAGCTTATACACAAAGTGGTCTATCACCATCTCTCAAATCAGCCACACGGCGAAATTTTGTACTACGTATCTATTTTAGACTAAGCACGTTGTGTGCTCGATCTAGCAATAATCTTGGACGATGAATTTTGCAATGAGATCATGAGTTTTTACTGTAAGAACAACATTGTTTAGTTGTTATATTTTTTGGGTGGTTTATTTTTGACGGCAAACCATGCAACACTAGCACCACAATAGTTGTAAAGATTGTTCATTCTTTGATATCAAATTGAAGTCTATTGGATTTGTGCCAATTCGTCAATTAGATCCAAAATATACTCCTTTAATTATCCAACGATTTATTAGCCTATTGTCATGCAATTTTAGTATGCGATTTTAGTTTTCCCGGTGTCCAGGTACAACAAGTCCCATATGAGGCTGTTAAATTATATGCTTCAAAGTAATGGAACATTCCTAACTTTTCTATATTGAGTTGCTATTTTTTAATAAGTTGTGGGTTTAGTGCTTTGTTTAGTCATCTTTGTTAGTGGGTTTAGTTTTCTATGAAGCAAGGAATTAATGGGCTACATTTCGATTTTGTTAGTTTTATTAAGCCTATATATAAAGGCAATTTCATTGTTATCGATTGAGTAAGAATGCAACATTATTTTCTTTAGTAAATTTCAGCATTTTTGCTTTCTTATTTTGAACAGAGGCAACATCCATATTGGTGTGCTTATATTGATGCATATGCATGCTACAGTGCAAGTTATATATTGTCATTGCGTTTTATTATCTTCACTTTATAGTGGTTTATAATGCTTATTGCTCATATGGGAAAGGCTAACCTAGATAGGGAATTCAAAAGTTACACGGGCGATTAAAACTTAACTTTATAATTTAATTATCAGTAAAGGTGACATTAACACATCACTTACCTACAATATAAAAATTTAGTGTCTAAATTATATATGCCCTTTCTTCCCAATTTGAATAATAAAAAAAGACTACATATTACATATTCAATGCTCGATTGACCTTGGAAAATTGGAAGAACAAGTGACATCTAACTGAATAGGTTTGGCTCTAATTTTATTAGTTCATTTAACATACTAACGTAGTAACTAGTAATTTGAATGGAAAATGGCATCAACTTAGACTGAAACTACCTCAAATTTAGATCCACGTAGGGTCATTGTTGCAAGTTAAGCACATAAGAAGTATTACACAGCATACATGCAAATTATATCTATACAAACATACGTAGTATGAAATTTTATTTAACTATCCTTTAAAGTCCATATGTAAGAAATAATGCTAACTCGCTACTTACTTTCATATGACCCATAAATATTTTTTGACTGTTATTCGGAAGTATTCCTCAATTCAAGTAGATATAACAAATAAAATTTTCAACATTTGAAAAAAAAAGCCGAACAAAAAAATTGAAACCTGCTCACCAAACCTGGTTTCTAAAGCTGGATATTTTTTTTTCCTTTTTTTTTTTTGATTACTATACAAGGAGATAAAGGAGACTAGCTCCCAACCGTCACACACACAAGACACACAATGGAAAGTCATTATTGGTACAACGTCATCTAGAAGTTATTCCTTCGATCTTAAACTACGTCTACGACTAGACTATTAGGTTTTGTGACTACTATTTCAAATCAAATTAAAAAGAATTTTTTTTTTTGCAATCAATTGTCAATATAAAAGGCTTTCCCTGGTTTCACATCTTTCAGCCTAAAAACCAATTAAGGAGGTTTAATTTGGCCTTATGTAAAACAAAAGCAATTAATTCTGCTTTGTAGGCAAAATTAGAATGGGAAATCCTTTGTGATCATTCCAATTTAAAGGTACAATTTGTTACAACCAAATACACTTTATATTTCATCATATTACATTTTTAGAATGCACTCCTCAAACCAAAGACTCTTGAATATGTAAAAAAAATTACAAATAAAGCCTTTGGTGGAAAATTGGTAATGATTTATAGTTAATTTTCTGTTTTTGTGTTGATATTTGGTGTGCCGATACTAACGTCAATGGATCCTAGATCAAAATATTAACTTAATTGTAACTATTTTATACAAGAAGATAACTCTTGGAATGTAATGTGAAACTTTCCAAGTTTCTTCCTTCATATTTGGTTAATATTATTTGAGGTTTTTTCCCTCTCTTCTTCTCCAATTACAGATAACTTTAGGGGTTTTTTTTTTTTTTTTTTGGTTAGATCAATTTATAGTTAAATCTGCTACTTGGCTTGCCCATGGTATTATCTCTCTAAATTCTAAATGGAAATTTTATTGGATTAGGAAACTAGATGTCCCTCCCAAAATAATAAAGATTTTCATATGGTTAATGTTGCATTATAGTCTTCACTCTAGAGCCAATCTTGCTCATCATCAACTTGATATTTGTACTATTTATCCCCTATGTATTCTCACTATGAAACTAAACAACAATTATCTTTTAAATTGCTCTTTTTCTTCTAGTCTCAGGAAATCTACTTTAAAAGTTAATTAATTGATGGTTCTTCTATAAATAATGTTGCTATTGCAGGATTAGTTATTAGGGATCATATGGGAAACCATATAGCTAGCATAAAATATACTTCATACTTGGTAGTATGATGTAGGGACTTGCTCGTCTTTTTAACCAGAAGCCATTTTCTTCGGGATGGCCTTTTGTTAGCCCACGGTCATAATAATTAGGAAAAATTGATATTAATTATCCCAACTTTGCTCCATTTTCTTTTAATATTCCCAAATTTGAATTATTTTGGAATAATCCCAACTTTAGAGGTTGTTTACTTTCTTCAATCCCAAACCGGTCAATAAAAATCAATGACCTGTTATCACAAGTTATGTAACATGTGTCAAGTTGTAATTGGTCCAGAAAAAAAAAAAAAAAAAAAAAAACTGTAACCCCCCGCCCAGCACCTCCCCCCTTCCCCATCGCCCACCGGAATCCCAACACCCCAATCCCCTCTCGTATCGCAAAACCCACCCCCTCCTCCCATCCCGTCGCCCCTCCCCCTTCCCGCTTGAACCACCACCCCCAGTCCCCGTAACTCCCCCCTTCTCTCCCCTCGAAACACCCACGAAAGTCCTCCACGGCCCACCCCTCCAAACACCCACGAAACCCCTCCCCCCACCCTCGAGAAAATTAGGAGGTTTTTCAAGGGTAAGGGGAGGAGTTTCATGGGTGTTTTGAGGGGAGAGAGGATGGTTACGGGGATTAGGGGTGGTGGTGGTGGTTCAAGGGGGAAGGAGGAGGGGCGACGGGACGGGAGGAGGGGCGGCTGGCCAGCGAGAGGAGGGGTGGGTTTTCCAGTACGGGGAGGGATTGGGGTGGCTGGGTTTCGGTGGGTGGTGGGGCTGGGGTAGTCTTGGAAAGGGTGGGCTGGGTTTTCTAAAAGATTTTTTTTAATTTTTTTGTTCTTTTATTTAATTTTTTGGCTAATTAGCTCTAAACAAGTGGCATTTATAAAAATAAAATAAAAATTAACCTTTTCATTGGGATTAAAGAAAGTAGGGGTGAAAGTTCGGATTTTGGTTTGGATTATTGGCCAAACCGAGTCCGAACCGAATTATTTCGGTTTCGGATTTTTGGAACCGAATCCAAACCGAATTTGGATTGGATCCAATCCAATCCAAACCGAAATAATTCGGTTTTCAGAAACGAATCCAAACCGAAATTTTGTTAGGCTGTTGTTTTGGGCCTAAAAAGTTGGGCCTGTTATTATTGGACCTATTATTTTGGCCCTTAAAATAGCCTAATATTTGCCAAAATTAGGAGATAGCATAATAAAAAAAAAAAAGTCCAGCCATTAGAATAAAATTTCACATTACAAAAGTCTTAAAAATGCAATAAAAGTCTTTATTCAAGATTTAATTAATAAATTCAACATGGCTGCTTCAACATAGCAACAAATTCAACATGATGGCAGCAGCTTCGACACCTTCAACTCTTCAAACCTTCAGTGTTCATATCGCATAGTACATACACTAAGGCATTAATAATTGAATGATTTACCATGCATAGCCATATATAGAGAAGTAAAAGAGCTTAAATACATATAATACAACAAACTTAAAATTCAGAACAACATATAAACACCTCAGAACAACATATAATACAACAAACTTAAAATTCAGAACAACATAAAAACATATAATCTAACTTAAAGTTCCAAGCTTAAAATACAAAACAACCAAACTAAAACAATCAAATTAAAGTATGATGTATAATCTAAAAAACAAGTGACTAACTAAGAGCAACAATCAATGGAATTAATTCGAAGATTTCGAACATAACAACCAACACAATTGGGGAAAAAACCAGAAAATAAACAACCAACATCAATGGAATTAATTCAAACATAACAACGGAGTAGATTTGTTACCTTTGAGCGAAAGTGACGGAGGTGTTGGTGAGGGAGCGCGCACAAGGAGCCGCAAAAGGTGTTCGCGCAAGGTGGTGAAGGAGCCGCAACTCGCAACTCGCAAGATCTGAACTCGCAACCTAGAATTCGCAAGATCTGAACTCGCAACTCAGAATTCGCAACTCATAGTTCACGCAAGGTGGTGAGGGAAGTGTAAAGGGAGGTCGTGAGGTGGTGGTGTTCGCGCAAGGTGGTGAATGGTGAGAAAAGGGGGAGAATTTAGGGAGGTGGTGACTTGGTGAGAGAGGCAGGGAGATGCGAAGATCTAAAGTTCACAAGAAAGGAAAAAGGAAATGGAAAAGAGGGAAAGAAAATTAGGGTTTAGGTTTATATATGGAGGGGAAATGGTCTGGGCTTAAAATTCGGTTTGGAATTTCGATGTTCGGTTTTTTGAAGCCCCAAACCGAAATAATTCGGTTTTGGATTTTTGGAACCGATCTAAACCGAAAAAATCCAAACCAAATTGTTAATTCGGTTCGATTTGGATCGGTTTTCGGTTTTAAATTGTATTACTTTCACCCCTAAAAGAAAGTAAACAGCCCTCAAAGAGTCAAAGTTGGGTTTATTAAATGAAGTTCACAAAAAAAAAAAAAAAAAAAAAAAGCGCAAAGTTGGGTTTAAAAATATCAATTTTTTCCTAATAATTATTCATTCCTATTTTGTAACAATAGATAATGTAAACATGGGATTTTGAAGATTTTCTACCTTTTGAAAGTAAACAGTCCTCAAAGAGTCAAAGTTGGGTTTATCAATTCTTTTTTTTTTTTGAAGCATCATTATTTGATTAATAAACTATCCTTATGATTTGTTTCCAATTTACTAAGATTTTCCAAACGATATTTCACACTAATTTGTAACTATTAACTGGATGCCAGCCTTTTTTTTGGAATAGAAGTGGATGTTAGCTATTCAATTGGTTAACCTAACCTAAATTATTTTAACTTGTATTTGTACAATGATTTAGCATAAATTAAATTTGAAATATACTTGACTAAATCTGAATCAATTACACCCGATCCAATAACTCGAATTGACAGCTCTTACGTTTATTAGTTCACCCGAAAGCCCTGTTCTTTTGAGCTTCTAGGCAGAGCAGAGCAGATTATTATTATTATTATTATTATTATTATTATTATTTGGTTTTTTTTAGATTACTCTTTTTTTAACATTAGAAAATGTGTTAAATAATATAAAATAATAATTATTATCAATAAATATTAGTTATTATTATCAATTAATATTATACATTAATTAGTATTATTATTATAAAATATTAATTATTATAATTATTAAATGCTAATTATTATCATCTATAAATATTAGTTAATTATTAAATATTAATTATTATTATTATTAATTATTATTTTTAAGTAGAGCAAAGTAGAGCAGCTCAAAAGAACAGGTTAAGCATTTTAATTTTTCTAATTTGATCTATTTTTTAGATTTGACTAAACTTTGATCATATTTGTACAATAATTCTTAAAGTAAAATGATGTCATCATCTATAACTCTATACTAAAGGCGAATCAGGAATGAAACGTGTCATCTCCTGATTAAATATTTTCCCGCCTTTTTTTTTTTCTTTTTCTTTTGGTCAAACCCCAATAACAATAATATTTTCTTTGCATATTTAAGGTATTATATTATTAGAATAGTATTTTAGCCAAGGACTATGTATAATCATTCTACTACCTTCGTTTCATATTTTTTGCAGCTTTGATGTATTATTTGTGAGATAAAAAAATATTCTAAAGTTGCAAAAAAATATGAAACGGAGGTAGTATTTTTTTTTCCTCCAACTTTATTATTTTTGGCAATAAAGTCTATTTCAATTAGAGAAGATAATATTTTAATAACATATATAACTATATATTCTATAATTTTCTACTCTTCATATAAATAATATCATAATGTGTCAATATTTTGTGCAAAAATATTTTCAACTAAGAAAATTATAATAATACAATACGTACTCAATCTTAACTAATCGACAGCCTATTATGTACATCCGGGTGTATTGTACACCAAGGGTCATTTGCTCATTCAACCAACAAATGAGTAAAAATACTATTTGCTCATTTGTTGATTAAATGAGCAAATGCCCCCGAGTGTACTGTACACCCAGGTGTATATAACAAATTCTATAACTAATCGATAAAAAAATATATATAATTTGTTGGGGATACAATTATTCCTTCTCTACTTCAACATAATAATGTTTAATTTGCAATAATAACCTATAAAAAAATTTAATCAAACAAATTTTATTATATAAATAAAAATGTATATGTACTACTCATATATTATGTAATAAAAAAAATGGTTACTAATTATCACAAAGTAAAATAAAATCAAATAAATTTGCATAAAACATTGTGTCGAATAAGTATGTTAACAAATTAGGGACGAAGGGTATATCCATGTGTGTGTATTATACGGTTACTAATCAAAACTTTACATTTTTATAAGGAGTAGTATAAAACCTCATAGTCCACAAATTTCTTTCATTTTATTTGATTTGTTAATTCTTTTGCATCAATAATTTTGATATCTTTGGCATGAGTATAAATTGAAATTCTAGCTATTTTATTTCCTTTAAAAAATATACTTCGTGATTTTTTTTGGTACATAATTGTTGCAATATAATTCACTATAAAATTTAGTAAAATCGTGCATGGCACGGGATTTAAACTAGTTTTCCTATAAATGTGTATTTTCAAATGATGAAATTTCCATAATTTCTATTACGGAATTAAAAATATTTAGCATTAAATAAACACAATTAAATAAACACAAATAAAAAGATCAAATCTAATCTAATCTTATGTGATCTAATTTTGGTCCAATCATTTCTAAAGTTAACAAATTATTTGCTTAAGTAACTTGAATTGAACATAGCCTCATTTCGTATCAATATCACAATGTGAGTTATCAATTTTAAGATGTTATATCTCACATAATATGAGTTGTCATTTAATTGAAGAGGATATTAAGGGTCTGTTACATGCAAAGTCAATGAATTGAGAAAACTCATAGAGTTTGTTACACATAGGACAACCCAAAAAAAAAAAAAAAAAAAAAAAGACAAAATATAAGAAGAAGAAACTATTCAAAAAAGAAGAAACTATTCAAGTTTTTGTTTATGATTATAAATACAAAGTATTGAATTCATGACATAAAATTTTATTTGTCCAAAAACATTACAACCACAAGCACTGAAATGGCTTCCATTCTCAATTTTCTGTCTCTACTTTTGCTTATCTCTTTTGTTCATCAAGGTACGTTATTTATTCGCATCACTAAACTTAATTTTTATTGTAAATGTTTCTTACATTTTACCTATTTGATTTTATTTTAGCTACCAATTAAACATTAATATTTAAAAATTATGCCATCTAAGTTTTCTCTTTAAATTTGAAATTAGCTTTTTAAATTAGAATTGTTTATAATCAAGTTTTTTTCAGCTTTCAAATAAGTCGGAAACTTGTATTATTTTTTACCCATAAAGATTTTCGAGCACTTCCATCATTTTATAATCATTTCATTAAAAAGAACTTCTCCATTAACAAAAAATTAGATCAAATCATTCAAATGACATGGTCTAATTAATTGAGTTTTTTGCATCATTGTAAAACTTTTATCACCCCAAGAACCTCCTTTTTTTTTTTTTTTTTTGGATGACTCGCTTTATAAAGTTGTAACCTTTCAAATCTTTTTACCACCTCGTAATAAATTTCTTTGCAACATTCAAATAGTGAAGGATAGTCTTAACACTTTAACTCAATTTCTTAATTACTCGTGTATGTTTTTCCCCATATGTACCCTAAAAATCGATAACATGCACATACTTGTAAACAGGAATAAGCAATTGGGATGACTGCAACATGTATAAGAACATAAGACTCAGGCAGGACAGAACAGATGAGCAACCAAGAGGATGGAAAGTATCAATCATCAATACTTGTAAAGATTGTGTATTCATTGATGTCCGATTGAATTGTACTGGATTTGTGCCTTATCGGCCGTTAGATCCAAAAGTACTCACAATCGTAAACGATACATGCTATGTGAATGAAGGTGGTATATGTTATATACCCTCTAATGCTAATTACAGCTTCACTTATCTTTCCTACAGTCCTACTGCTTATGACTTTACCGTCTTTCATGCTGGTATATCCTGTAACCTTCCGCCTGCTCCACCTCCGCCTCTTCCGGTGTGATGAAATAATGTATGTTGCAGGTTCAATAACAGTTTGTTTTGGACCGATATTTGAGAAATTATGAAAAATAATAATCACTTCGTATGTCTTTTGGTATCTTGATCGTAGATATCTTTGATATTATATGTCCTTGCCTGTGTAATTGTGTACATGCTAAATAAGGTTTAAGCCTACATTACTAATAAAGCTATTACAGAGTTACAACCCAAGTTAACTAAATACAAATTCTCAAAATATAACCAGCAAGGCTGTATCATTATTGGCAGAGTTCTTATCATGCAACATTGCAACACCAGCGACAACTGTTGCGGTGTGGCTGACATAGGGGTGAGAACGAATGCTCCACCCATACAACTCAAGCTCCCAGCCCACATTAATGGTTCCTTTGCAACCTTGCCAGTTATGAGTTTCCATACAACTATAGCCCTCCATAGCATTCTTCATTTTTCGACTACAGAGTATTGCACTACATCAGATACAAGACACACATCACCTCTAAGGACAGCATCATGTGAGCTTGTAGATTCTACTAAAGATGGACAGCATAACTGCTCAGAATTTCCGGTGTTGTTCAACTTAGTATTTCTCAAACATGCTCAAGATCTCATTCGACACTATAGGAGAACCAAGAATACAAAGCAGCAGATTTTCTGTACAAAGATTGCTTTTGCAGAATCTTTTGGTACAATTCTTATATAATCCTTTGAAATCATCACCAGCTTTAAAAATAAATGAAATTAACGCATTGATAAAGTTCATTTCAGCAAATTTGACAAATTAATTTCCTATCGTTGAAGGCCACTTCCAATTAATAATAAGCATCCAGTGGTTTACAACTAGAGAGTTCAAAACAGCAACATTTTTTTAAGAAAATTCACAAATTCATTGAATGTACCCAGCCCTCCGAATCTCACACACACGCACACAAAATTTTTACATATCACAATGTCATGAACAAGGCAAATCCATATCAAATGCTCTAGAACATCAAGCTGAGGTAGCTTTGGCTGATTTATGTGCTGCAATCAGGCTTTTTGTCAGCCATATTGCAGTTTCCCGGGACGACACAGTTTCTTCACCAAAGGGTCTCAGAATACCAGAAAGTTCGTCAAGCTTATCCTCTCTAAGAAGCCGTGCACATAACTCAAGGAGAGATTCCAAAGCATCAGCTCTTTGGTGGGTTGGAACTTCAGCCCCACCTTTAGTTTGACCACCACTCATTGCTGTTAGGGTCCTCCTCAGTAAAGACAATTCAGCTGGTGTTGGGTTAATTGTTTCATCACCACCACTACTTGACTGTAAGGTGCAACTAGTGTTGAGAGTCTCTACTCCAACTTCAC